GGAAACTTTTCTTGTCCTGAATTCTTTTGACTCAGTTAGTGCAGTGTGTTCATGTAGAAGTGAGTTTGGATTAAGTATTCAGTTTATCAGTCTCTACATTTTAAAATTTGGTGGTATAAGCAGTAGAGTTGCTCATTACATGTACCTGATGAACTATGTGCCTGGTAATGGGAAGGTGTCCCAGAAAAGGTGGTGACCTTAAGGATGGCCTGGAATCCTGTTCTTTTAATTAACTAGCTCCTCTAAAAATGTGACCGCGTTATGAACTTTTAGCCTTTTCACTTAGCAGTATGAAGTACAGAACTTAGTGTTCACACAACCAGTTGATAAAAGTAGTTTTGGAGGTAAATGGGAGGATTTTGGGTGGTAAAAATTTGTTTATTTAAGAAACATCCAAAGAACCTCATTACAATGTGCTATACCATGACAGAAGTCTTAAATGTGGAATCAAGTCAAGATATATATATGTCTGTGCAGATATCTGTATATGTAGATGTAGATATACGCTTATATGTCCTTTAAGTTATAGAGTGAGATTGGTTATGTATTGTGAAAAAAAAAAACACTTTAATCACATTACCTTGCAGGAAAAATTGACACAGGGAGTTATGAATGGAGAAATTATGGTGCCTCTTATTCTGCCTGAACTGAACTCATTTTTCACAAAACCAACTCCAACCTTCTCTCGTGTCTGAATGGCGTGCTATCATCCAGGAAATAGACATCATCCTTCACTTTTATTCCTTATCTGCCTTGTCCAATTAATGTCTTTTTTATTCCGGCTCTTAAATGTCTATATTGTCTGCCTCCATCTGCACTGTCACTATAATTAATGCAGCCATGCAAAGGGTATCACATTAGCCTTTAACAAATCTGGCTACTTCTTAGGAAAACAGGCTGTCTCCAGTACTTGGCAGAGGACATACATAGTGCGTATCCGTAGTAAGTACGCAAATGTTCGAGTGGGTCAGTAGCAACTGTCACATTGTATTCTGTTTATCTTATTTCCCTCTCTAGACTGTACACTCCATGAGGGTAAAGAGAGTGTTCTGTTTACTGTTAATATCTGTACTACCTAACATGTAGTAAGTTACAAACATAACTAGTTGGTGACCGAATGAAGGAACAACTTTTTAGTGTATAAATGCAGATATTCTTACCTCTTCCTTTTTCCCCTCCTTATCATCCAGTGGTATAAATGAACTGAGGTTAACAGCACAGATTAGTTCAAAGTTATCTACTTAAGTATTCTTTTGTGTAGGTTCTTTAAACATTGTGAGATTCACCCAGTCATATATATGCTGGAACTGCCTTGTGCCAGCTCCTGAGAACTGATCATTAAATTTTCTGGAACTTCGGCAAGCTGGTATACCGTGGAAATTGGTAGACATTAAAATCAGAGCTTTTTATATGGAGAGCTGATTTACCAACATACCACTGGATTCATCCACATTGTTGCATGTTGTAGATTATATATTATTGCCAAATATATGCCATATATTTTGCCATATAGTTTCCTGCTGTGTGAATATCTAACACATCCTGCTGTGTGGTGGCCATTGGTAGTTTCCACATTTGCCTACTAAAATTAGCCCAGGCACGGTGGCTCAGACCTGTAATCCTAGCACTGTGGGAGGCTAAGGTGGGAGGATTGCTTGAGGTTAGGAGTTCAGGACCAGCCTGAGCAAAAGTAAAACACCATCCCTACAAAAAGTAGAAAAAATTAGCCAGGTGTAGTGGCCTGTAGTCCAGCTACTCAGGAGGCTGAGGCAGGAGGATCACTGGAGCCCAGGAGTTTGAAGTTGCAGTGAGCTGTGATGAACCACTGTACTCTAGCCCAGGGGACAAAGCAAGACCCTGTCTCAAACAAAACAGAACAATTAGTACTGCTGTGAATACAGTGTCTGTTGGTAATCTGGGTCATAGATTATGTATATATTTATTCAGCTTTAGTAGATACTGCCGAACTATTTGAACCAATTAATCCTCCTGCATTCTCACCAACACTAGCTATTTTTGTGTCATATGTTACAGTCATTGTGGTGCATGAACAGTGATATTGATTGCATCGTGGTTTTAATTTGCATCTCCTTGTGACTAATGAAGTTGAGTATGTTTTATTTATACCCCATTTGAAAATACCATTTTTTTGTGAAGTATCTGTTCAGGTCTGTTG